TTACTTTAATAATACTTTAGTATGACGAGATGATCTACAAAAATCAGCCAATCACAATAAAAGTTCGCTATGCTATATCTAATATGGATATATTGTACCTCATAATACTATATTTAATGCAAATATCTTGTATCTCATAAAACTATATACCTAATTCAAACACTTTGTACCTTCATAATATTATATCTAAAGCAGGTACTTTGTATCCTCATAATACTATATACATTATCATATATAATGCAGATATCTTGTATCCTCATAATACTATATAAATTATATATCTAATTCAGACACTTGGTATTCTCATAATACTATATATTATCATATTTAATGTGGTATCTTGTATCTTATAAAACTATATACCTAATGTAAATATTTTGTTATAATACTATATATATCTAAAGCAGGCACTTTGTATCCTCATAATACTATATATGTTTAAAGCAGACACTTGTACCTCTCTAATTACTATATATATTATTCATAATATAAGCATTTTGTATTCTTATAATATATATATTATTTATTAATGTAATATATTATATTCTTATAATACTATATATTAAAATATCTAATATGAACATCTTGTACCTATACTATTTTAATGCTATATAGTATCTAATGTTGAAATAATATATATTATATAATATATTTTATTCTATAATATTATTTATATATATTAAAATATCTAATATGGGTACCTTGTATTCTTATAATTTTATATTATCTAATACTAACACTTTGTATCCTTTTAATACTATATAGTATTTAATGTTGACATAATATATATTATTAAATTTATAATTTGGTATACCATACACCATGATATACTCCCTAATTAGAAGTATATAATCAATGATCATTACTGTAATCATTTAATTTTTTTTTATTTCTACTGCAGTTTTGCTTTTTTATAGATGAGTACTTGTTTTTTGTTCTGGTTTCAAAACATGCCTATTTCTATTTTACAGTAGTTTTTGCTTGCCTATTTTGTTTTCTAGTCTTTGGTGAGTATTTATTGCACTTGTTGTTTTATTGTTTCCTTGTTTTGAAGCATTTTAACTAACACTCATTTCTTTTTTACTGTAGTTTTCGCTTGTCTATCTGCTGATTTTGGGTAGGTATTTGTTGTAGTATTTGTGCTTGTTATTGTTTTTCTGATTTTGAAATATGTCTACTAATGCTTATTTCTTTTTCTTGTTAGTTTTCACTTGTCCATTTTGACTTCTAGTCTTGGGTAGGTATTGCATCTTTCAGCCTTGAGTGAGTATTAAATATAGTTTTATTGCACTTGTCATTTTTGTTTTCTAATTTGAAACATGTTTACTAATGCTCATTTCTTTTTCCAATAATATTACTTGTCTGCTTTGTCTTCCAGTCTAGTTATTTGTTTATTTTTTTCTAGTAGCTTTTGCTTGTCTACTTCATTTTTCAGTTTTAGATAGGTATTGGCTATGATATTATTGCACTTGTTGATTTTGTTTTCTAGTTTTAAAACAAATTACTAATGCTTATTTTTTTCCAATAATTTTTATTTGTCTACTTCATTATTCAATCTTGGATAGATATTTGTTCTTTTTATTTTTGTTTTTTCGGTAGTGCTTATTATGTCATTAGTGTTGTTCTATTTAGTATATTTTCTTTATTGCTAGTAATGCTTGCTATGTTATTGGTGTTGTTTGGTTTTTTCATCACAGATGGTATTTTGCTGCCTAATTTGAAGTTCCTTTTTTATTACTACTTATGTTAACACTTAAGTTAGTATTAATTTTTAGATTTAGTATAGTTGGTTAGAATTAGGATTTACTGTATTTGGAATTAGTGTTAGAAGGAGTTAGATAATAATATAGGTATATATCAAGTAATTAGAAAAGAGAGCAAAACAAAGGTGACAGCCAAAGCAAAGTGATACAGGCTGAGCGAAGCGAGCCTTGTCTGTATTGCTAAGCATAAGCGAAGCAACACAAGCTGTACTGATAAACAAAGTAGTGTATGAGAAATCTGTAATATTTGAATAAATATGCGATAAATTAAATGATTATATAATAATTTGATAATTTTTACGTTAGTAAATTCTTATTAGTGTTTCTATAAACTGAACTGAACTTTTGGCTAAGTTCAAGTTCAGTTCAAAATTGAACTAAACTTGAACTTGAATTTTTTTTAAAAA